TGGTTCAGTAGGCAGTAACATAATCCACTTAGGTAAGCTCTCACAATGTCTAACACCAGAGCTTACTTAGGCTAAGTTCACATATATATATAAAAAATAAATATAAACCAACACTTGCGTAAACATTTTAAACAACAAAATATAAATAAGTGCAGCTTGCACATATAAAGGCAATATTATTATGTAAATGTATAAATGCAGCGCTAGTTATAAAAATGATCTTATGTCACTTTAAATACAATAAAGTCCATGTGTGTTCCCAAATGTCCATTCAGGTGCATAAAGGGACAAGTTCAATCCAAAAAGCTGTCACCTTACACCCAAAGAAGATTGGCCTCTTACCAGACAATTTGACCACACAAAGGTCGGTCAACATACGCAGTGATATAACATCAATATGGCAATCGATCCTCAATAGAGATCCCCTCCAGAATGAAAAGTAGCTTCTACACATTCAATAATCTCCTAATGGCAAAAACTCACATCTGATGGCCAGGGAATGAATAAAGAGGGAAAGCAACTCATACTGTAGTATTTAAAATTTAATTCAATAAATTTATTAAGGTTCCACGTACATCAGTATATAAGCCAACCAGCATTGGTAAAACAAATGTTTCGAACCGACAAGATGGCCACCATCCCTCCAGAGCACAATGACGTCACACAGCAAGGCTTCAACTTATGCGTTTCATCATCAAAAAGAAATCGTCAGGGGCGTGGTTCACATATATGTAGCTGTGTGAACAGTGGTTTGTACGGGTACGTTAGCATATTCATTTTAATGGGCTACCGTGCTTCATGAAATGTAGGGAAAAGGTCTCTGCACTAATTTGAAAATTGCAACCCGTACAGGAACCGCAAGTACAGTGTGGTTCCCAGTTCAGGTGTGATTTCTAGTGCAGGCGGAGCGTCATTAGGATTAATGGCACCCACCCAGATCTCCTTCATTTCACTGTGGGGGTGGTTGCGGTTGCGGGAATAGCCGCAACCACCCGCACAGGTGTGAGCCTAGCCTTAGGTTGGACTCCTACAGCATGGAGACAGCAAGGGAGTGAGGATGGGTGAGTATACCTTGCTGAGGGAGTGGACTATCCAGAGGCAAGAGGCAGGTGAGAGTGTCTCTTTAAGTATATCCTTTCCAATTGATATCTATAGTTAAGACGTAAAGATATCTATATCATCTGGATGGAGGGGATGAAGGGGATTCTGATGTTTGGATCTCTGCTATGGAAAGTGAAGACAGAACTCCTGATCTGTATATACAGTATGTTCTATGGCAGGGAATCAGGAGGTATTGAAACCAAAGAATCAAGCAATAGTGCAAGACCTGCATTGACTCCTCAATAAAGGATGCATGACATGAAGGGTTTTTTCAGGGACTTACATGTAGCACACTCATCCAACCAGGTGGTTACCCAACACCCAGCCAGCTGTCCAGGGCATCATTGGGCATAAAGAAAGCAGGCACAGGTAAGTCTTTGCTGGTATATCCTTCTAGCACTCCTGGTATAGGGAGGGGCATCAGTGGGCATCTGTGAATGTCCTCATTGGCATGGCTTTCTATTGATGGGCACCTTGATCTATAATGAAGTTGCCCAACTGATTTTTTCTATCTTACAAATGTAACTTTCTTACCTCTGTTTTCTCATTGCCTTGTCCTTAATGTGATGCCATACTCTTAGTTTTTTTACTTTCTCTGGTTTTAAGATTGTTGATGCCCCCTGGCTACCTCCATTTTGGTTCATCTTTGACACCCTTTATGCCCAGGTGGCTTTGATCCCTACTAGTTCACTGCCTACTCTCTGTATGCCTCTGTGCCAGTTAATCTGTCCCACCCAGTCTTTGGATTTCTGGTTTCTGTTCCAACTAGTGAAGTCTCTATGATCCAATGTATAGGATCTTGGGAAAACCAATGCATGCATATGAAGCATCTTTACAGTGTGGCTGCTTTAGGTGAAGAGGGGTGCAGGAGAGGTTGTTGCCCATACATTACAGAATAATTCTATTTACGACCAGTGCATGTTTATGATCAAATCAATGTCATGCCAAGCAGATCAATGTTGGCAATATGAACAGAATTTGTTTTCCACTATAATGGTGAGCTTTTAATGGGGTATTAGGCTGGTTTTGCTATGTCCTGTAGCTTTAACATGCTGCCTTATTAAAGTGTTACTAAACCCACAACAGTCAAATCAGTCTGTATATGCAGTAAAGCATGCTTGTTATACTCACTGTGGAACCTAAGAGGTTAATCCTCTGCATTTTGTAAAAAGACTGTTTTATCCTGTCTTCTCTGCCCCTCCTCTTGTTCAAATGTCCAGTCGTATCTCCTAAAAGACAGACTGAACCCCTAGTCACATGCACATGCTCAGTTTAGTGTGTATTGCTAGAGGGTTTTTTTTTTTTTTGGGAGAGTGCATGTGATCAGCACAGGGCCAATCAGCACTCTCCATACAGAGGCCAGGGGTCCTGCATCTTCCTAGAGCAGAAAGAAAACTCCTACCCCATATGGAAGAAAAATATATTTGAAGTATATTTTTAAAAATATTCTTCCCATATATATTGACATCTATTTGAAATGCTACAATTTTGGCCATATTCAATATATTTGAAAAAATAAATAAATAAATATATATATATATATATATATATATATATATATATATATATATACAGCATGTTGAAATGTGTTTTTTATAATCTCCTAGATTGTAAGCTCCAAGGAGCAGGGCCCTCGAACCCCTCGTGTATCGCATTGTATTGTTATTGTACTGTCGCATGTATTGTCTCCCATTGTAATGTATAGTGCTGAGCAAACTGTTGGCGCTTTATAAATACTGTATAATAATAATATATATTACAAAATATATGAAAATTTTTTTTAAAAATATATATTTTTCAGATTTTTTTTAACATATAAAAAGTAATTTTAACACATATGTTTACATATATTTGTAAATGCATTCCAAAAATGTAGATTTGTACTTTTAAAGACATACAGTATATTTGAAATGTATTATTTTTCATATATATTATATATATTTATTTATTTATTGAAATTTATTTTGAAATATATTTTAATATAGTCAAAATTGTAGCATTTTAAATATATATCAATATATTTGGGAAGAATATTTTAAAAATATTTGAAATATATTTTTCTTCCATGTGGGACAGGCTTTAACCAGTGCTCTGCTGAAGTCACAAGACTGCCCTAATTAATGATGAGAAAAGGTATTTAGCAGTTTATATTTACTAAACTAATTGCATTTCCATGTTGCCTGTACTGTGGGAGACCAGATATAGTGAATGCAGGGTCCTGGGGATAGTAACACTTTAAATATTCTAGTGTACAAGTACCAAAACTGTAAACCAGCTACACTCGAAACTGTAAGATTTACATTTACTACAATACTTTTGCATCATTGATTTTTTTTTTTTTACATTTTTCATAGTAAAACATTGCTGTTTCAACCAATTTCACATACATTTTGTCCCTAGTGCTTTGTCCTGCGCCCTGTGCATTTTGTCTGTTCTTTCTGCCTGGAAACTGAGAAATGTCCATGGCGTCCAAAAAGTGTCCCTTTAGGTCAAAAGCGGTTTAGATCAGCTGTTAGTAAATTAGAACCACTTTTGAGTGATAATGATTCGTGGGGGAAATTCGTCATGCACTGAAAACTTTTGCAAAGAGATGTGTGAACTTGGCGCTATATTTCATTTTTTTTTTGGTTTGATTATATTATTGAATTAAATTTTTTATTATTTTTATATTATTTTTATGATTATTTATTAAATTATACAAATTTTATCATAAATGTTTACTAGACTCTTGTTTGGACAGATTTCAGTGAGTTTTTCCTAAAAATTACAGCCTTTCAAAAAAATGGAGCTTTCAGCACCAAAAATCTGAAATAATAAACCGCCAGGGAGGTTAAATACATGTACAAAGTGTTAAACCAGAGAAACCTGTAAGATTTACAACTACAATACTTTTGCAAGATAGACAAATTTGTATGAGCTGTGGAGGTTGCTGCGATTGTTTGCTTTATGTAATGTGAAAATCTGCCATTTTTTTTATTGCTTCACAAAAAAAAAAAGCCCTTCAGCTTTCGATCATCAGCAAAGAAGAATTGTTGATGAAAATCTAATGGTACTGCATTACTGTTCTTTCCAGTAGGATTCCACAGCAACCTCTCTCCATCCAAAACAAATATTCCCGGCAGAATGATCACTACCGCTTTGTTGATGCTCTCTCAGCTTAATGACATTGCCCTCTCTCACCCAGCCTGCCATGTCATAGCTTTGCTGTAGGTGCTCAGCCGTGGTTTCATCCTCCAGAAACTAATTAATACCACGGCACTGCATTTGGGACACCAATCTCCATGCAAAATGGCAGCACCCTAAGGTCAAATAATAGAGTCTCAGGGGATGCATTAGACAAACAATTCTGCCAAGAACCAAGACAGGTGAGCTTAGAGTAGCTGAGTCGTGTGACCTGTTCCAGCAGCTTTAATAAAGGAGCGAAAGTTTAGTATTAAATCATCACGGTTTTTTAACCACTTCCCCTCCAGAGGATTTACCCCCCTCCTGACCAGGCCATTTTTTGCGTTACGGTGCTGCGTTATTTTAACTGACAATTGCACGGTCATGCAACGCCGCACCCAAATGAAATTTACATCCTTTTTTTCCCACAAATAGAGCTTTCTTTCGGTGGTATGTGAACGCCTGTGTGGTTTTTATTTTTTGCGCTATAAAAAAAAAGACTGACAATTTTGAGAAAAAACAATATTTTGGACTTTTTGCTATTAAACATATCCAGTAAAAAAATTTAAAAATTCAAATTTCGTCATAAATTTTGCCCAAAATGTATTCTACTACATGTCTTCTAAAAAAAAAAAATCCCAATACGTGTAAATTTACTTGGTTTACGTGAAAGTTATAGTGTTTACAAATGGCGGTATATATACTGGAATTTTATTTTTACTAGTAATAGCGGCGATCAGTGACTTATAGCGTGACTGCGAGGGACATTCTGATACTGGGGGCAACTGACTTGGTGTCACTGACATCCCCAGTGACACCAATACAGTGATCAGTGCTAATAAAAAGCACTGACACTGTACTAATGGCACTGGGCAGGAAGGGGTTAACATGTGGGGCGATCAGCCTGTCCTGAGGTGAACTCACTACCTCACTCCCAGACTGACTCATCCCAGGCTGCTACTAAACCTCTATCTAACAAAAGAAAAACAACAAACCAATCTAGCTAACCTAGAGGACGGTAAAGCACATAAGAGTTAACAGGTTCACAGTTATTAGGTTAAATAGTGTCAGGAAAGGCTTTCTCATAGTACAAAGTTTCACGGCGCATACAAATGCTCATGCGCAGACTGGCGACTAGCAGGGCAGATGTGCACAAGAATGAGCACGCATGCAAAATGAATGGGCTCAAATCGCACTGCAAAGAATCACATGTGATTTGAACAGGAATGCAGTGCGATTCCTGTCTGAATCCCAAGCGCTTTACCTGCGGCTACGGTGTGATTGTAGCCATCCAAAAGGACCAGTTCAAATCGCACTGACAATCGCACTGCACCTGCAGGGAAAACGCATTTCTTTTCATGTAGCATACGATTCTTTGCAGTGTGCTTTGAGCCCATTCATTTTGTATGGGCTCAAATCGCACTGAAAAGGTATCAGTACTCGGTATAGGCGCCTACTTGACCGAAAGTATCAGTACTCAAACTCATCGGTAAAAAAACAGTATTGGGGCAAACCTATTATATAAAATGCACATGCATGTCCCACAAGCGTGTAATGGTATATGCATGTTAGGTAATCTCAACTTTACACCTACAGTATTTAAAATGACACTAAACTCTGGTTTAAAAAATTATTTTCAAGCATGTATTCCTAACTGAAAATGTCCCTTCTATTGCTCTCAGCTCTTCAAATCTCCAAATTCATTTTTTTTTGCTGTGATCTGACATCTTGTTAGAAAGTGTTTGTTCTCCATTGCCTCACTGTACAAAGGGACATAGCCACCCTCTCTTGCTTGCTCCTGACATGGACTATGGGGTTTGTAGTGGACATAGAGTAGTGGATATGACAATGGATTGTTTTCACAGAGAATAGGTGCAGGTACTCCCCCCTACCCTGAGTCACCCCTTGTCTCCGCCCCTGACCTACCTTGGAGCACTGACCCTTGTCTCTGCTCTCTATCCACCTCCTAGTACTACTCCTTTTAGAGCATACAGACCCAAGTATCACTCTCTGGTGTTAAGTAATGTGTATGGAACTGGTTAATGATAATTGACACGCAAGCAAAAATAGATGCTTTCCAACAACAATAGACCCTCCCCCAAGGAACAAAATACACCTCCAGCAACAATAGATCTGCCCGAGCAATAATACACACCTGCTGGCAACAATAGCTCCCCCCAGCAGCCAGCATTAATATAACCCCCCTCAACATTAGAACCATAGAGCAACAATAGATCTTTCCCAGCTACAATAGATCCCCAGCAATTATCATCAATAGACCCTCCAGCACACCCCAGTCTCCTTTGTCCGCACATACATTCTGTGCTATAGGTCCTGGAACTGCATTCCCCCATGTTCCCACTGAAAAAAAAGCGCTGAATATGACTACATCTAACATGCACTGCCCGTTCCAAACTGCAGGAAATGAGAGGGAAAAGGAGAGGTTCAGGAGATCCAGGGAGGCAGAAAAATGCAGTAAGAAGCAATTTCACGAAAAATAGATTACAGGGCCCTTAAGTAGTGGACGTGTATTGATTATTTTTAACCGCTTCCCCGTTGCCCTATAGTAGAACTATGCTACAGGGTGGCAGGGCTGCGCAATATGACGTGTATATATATATATGTGATTTGCATTTCCGGATAGGGAGCCATTGTTGGCTAGGCATGTCAATCACTGGGTCCAGGCCGGAGATTCACCGCCGACACCCAACAATCATCATGCAAAGTTGACAGGGGTCCCTCTCCTGTCAGCAAGGACATGCTGCTTTGTATTTCTCTGCACAGCATGTCTCCCTAGTAAAACATACACAGTTAACCCTTTGATCGCCCAAAAGTTAACCACTTCCTGCCCAGTGTCATTAGTACAGTATCAGTGCTTTTTTATTAGCACCGATCACTGTATTGGTGTCACTGGGGATGTCAGTGGCAGTTAGTCAGTTCCCATTCATTGTCAGAATGCCCGCTGCAGTTATTATTATTACTATTAGTAGTAGTCCCGCAGGCCCACAGTCCCACTATAAGTCGCTGATTAGTAGTATAATTTTTTTTTAATTTCAGTATATATACCACCATTTGTAAACACTATAACTTTCACGTAAACCAATTAATTTACACGTATTGGGATTTTTTTTTTAGCAAAGACATGTAGCAAAATACATTTTGGACGCAATTAAAAGACATTTGATTTTTTAAATGTTTTATTGGATATGTTTTACAGCAAAAAGTCAAAAATATTGTTGTTTATTCAAAATTATCAGTCTTTTTGGTTTATAGCGCAAAAAATAAAAAAACGCACAGGTGATCAAACACCACCGAAAGAAAGCTCTATTTGTGGGAAAAAAGGACATAAATCTGTGTACAGCGTTGCATGACCGCGCAATTGTCAGTTAAAATAAAACAGTGCCATATCGCAAAAAATGGCCTGGTCAGGAGGGGGACAGATCTTCTGGAGGGCAAGTGGTTAAGGAAAACAATACATTGCAGAAAATGTCTAACTGGGCACTTTTACCTCAATGGAGGTCTCCTGGGAATGTTTGCTGAGGATTCTGTACTTTATAGACATCCTGGTTAGCATCCAGATGCTGAAATCATCGCTATCAGGTCACCTACAGGGTGTCTTTACCTTACCAGTGAACCTCGAAAACATTGTAAGCAGATTCTACAAGCCTGCATGCAGCGCCGTGTCAGCATCTGTTCAAGGATATCTATACCTGCCTTAGAGACATTTGCTGGCAAAAAATAAAAGAATGGCGTATTGATATCAGCATTAGATAAATATAGTTTTGTAAATCCCCAGGAAAGAAATACTCTGAATTTTATAAGTTCCAGGTGATAGAAGATAAAACATTTAATTCTAATGTTTCTGAGGTTTCAGGTTAAAGAACAAGGAAGATACTGTATATAATACTTGCTTTAGGTTTAGAATCTTCCTTCAATAGTGTTTCAATCGCTTTTAATCCAGTTTTAATGTATTGAAATATACTGAGATGCCAGAATAACAACATGACCTCTGGAAAGTTTTACCCCCATCATGACCAGGCCATTTTTTTGCTATTCAGCACTGTGCTACTTTAATTGGCAACTGGTCGGTCATGCAACACTGTACCCAAATAAAATTTACGTAATTTTTTCACAACTGTTTTTTTTTGTTTAGTTTTTATTATATAAACGAAAAAGGTTGAAAATTGTGAAAGAAATTATCTTCTGTTATAAAACATATACAATAAAATCAAATTTAGAAAAAAAATTTTAGGTCAAAATGTATTCTGCTAAATGTCTTTGGTAAAAAAAAAAAGAAATCCCAATAAGTGCATATTGATTGGTCTGTATGAAAGTTATAGTGTCTACAAACTATGGTATACCTGTAGATACTGGAATTTACTCAACTATAGATGCTATACTACTAATGGAGGTGATCAGCAACTTATAGTGTGACTGCCATAGTGTGGCATCCAATCTGGCGCTAACAGACACTGGCTGGGAGGGACACTAACTGATTAACTGACAATGACGTCACTAGTAACACTAATACTGTGATCATTGATAATATTGCACACTGTACTAATGACACTGGCAGGATGACAGCAATGATCAGGAGAGCAATCAAGGGCTTAACTGTGTGCCTAACAAGTATAATGTGTGCTGCTTTTACTCAAAGGTCTGGCTGATTTTTCTCCCTACTTTTCATGGAGAAGAAACAGTCAGATCGTTGTTCTGTGTACACAGAGTTCTGTGTGTTTGTATACACAGAGCTCTGTGCTGTGATTGGCCGCAACCGATCAGTGGGTATACAGCCAAAATCATTGGCTGAAAGCTGTTTACAAACTCGTGCTGTGTCCAATCACTGCACAGGTCAGCAGGGGGCGCACGCACGTGCCTGAAACCTGGAATTAAGCTGCGACTTACGGGTACGACGCTTAGCTTGGAGCTGCTGCCCTCCCACAGTAAATATACTGTGGGCGGGCGCCAATGGTTAAAATTCAACAGAAGGCTTGCATGGGCAGTGCTTGAAAAACAAAAAGTACAAAGGTGCCTCTAAGTATAGACTGTATACAATATATATTTCAGAAACGGTATACATTAGCAACTCACGTCTGAGCAGAAAGACAGGCACATAATAAATGGTGTCTGGTGAGGTTATGGGAGTCTGAAACGCTGGCTGTGTCCTCTGATGTGCAGTATGCCACTAGTCTCACTCCAAAAGCCAGCTTGAGTGTGGAGGACGATCAGGAAGGCGCGGTGACGTCACCAGACGTTACGTTACACGTGTTTCTAAGCATGCGCACTGCTATTGCATGTCAGGCGCGCTCCTTTGTCAAGCTCCAGAGACCATCTATTATGTGCCTGCCTTTCTCCTCAAACATATGAGTTGCTGCTGTATACCTTTTCTGGAATAATATCGTATACAGTCTACACTTAGAGGCGCATTTGTACTTCTTTTTGTTTTTCATGCACTGTTTGAAGACCACTTTTACTCCAAGCAGAGGCTTGCCCTAAAAGCTGCAGACACCCCCCATGCTCCGGTGACCTTTCTCTACCTCCGGATGGACTTTATTTTTTAACGACTTGCCTACTGGGCACTTTTACCCCCTTCTTGCCCAGGCCGATTTTCAGCTTTCAGCACTGTTGCACTTTGAATGATAATTGGCGATCATGCAAGACTGTACCCAAACTAAATTTTTATCATTTTTTTGAGACAGGTAGAGCTTTCTTTAGGTGGTATTTAATTACCACTGGCGTTTTTTAATTTTTTTTGCTAAACAAGCTAAAAAAGACTGAAAATTTAAAAAAAAAAAAATTTTTCTTAGTTTCTGTTATAAAATTTTGTAAATAAGTAATTTTTCTCCTTCACTGATGTGCGCCAATGAGGCTACAGTGATGGGCACTGATAGGCTGCACTGATGGGCACTGATAGGCGGCACTGACTGGCACTGATAGGCAGCACTGACTAGCAGCACTGATTGGCGACACTGATGGGCACTGATAGGCAGCACTAACTGGCACTGATAGCACTGAAAGGCAGCTCTGATGGGCACTGATATGTGGCATTGATGTGCACTGATATGTGGCATTGATGTGCCCTGATGGGCACTGGTATGTGGCATTGATGGGCACTGACAGGTGGCAATTATGGACACTGACGGGTGGCACTGATGGGGCTACACTGATCATCAAGGCACTGATGATCAGTGCCCTGATGATCAATGTGGATGTCCCTTCTGAGGATTGCCGATTACTGGCTCTCCTCTCCTGACGTGCTGTCAGCGTGAGGAGAGGACTGCCGATAACCGGCATTTCCTATTTATATATGATCAGCTGTGATTGGACATGGCTGAACACATGATACAGCCTATGTCATTGGCTCTTTACTGCGATTGGTGATCAGCTGTGTCCCAGGAACACCGCGCACCACCAATGGGCGTGCATGCACAGCTAGAGTGGGAGGATGTCATATGACGTCTTCCCAGAAAGAGAGAACCACCGCCCTTCCATCATTTCCTTATATGGTGGTGGGAGGAGGTTAAATATATGGACTTTTTGATTTAAGAATCATATTTACTGCGCCTTTACTTTCATCTTTCTCATGGGCAATGCTTGACCTGTAATGGGGCAGAGCCGGGGGTTACATTGGTGAGCTTACAGTTTGGAGAACATCACCTGCATATGTTTATTAATCATCCAAAGACAGACAGAAATGGTGGTGGCATGGAACCTGCAGAAACATGTTTGGAGGAAAAAGAAGGATGAGTTGCTTCCCAAGAACACCATCCCTACTGTGAAGCATGGGGGTGGTAACACCATGCTTTGGGGGTGCTTTTCTGCAAAGGGGACAGGACGACTGCACTGTATTAAGGATAGTATGAATGGGGCCATTTATTGTGAGATTTTGAGCAACAACCTCCTTCCCTCAGTCAGAGCATGGAAGATGGGTCGTGGCTGGGTCTTCCAGCATGACAACAACCCGAAGAACACAGCCAGGATAACCAAGGAGTGGCTCCGTAAGAAGCATATCAAGGTTCTGGAGTGGCCTAGCCAGTCTCCAGACCTAAATCCAATAGAACATCTTTGGAGGGAGCTGAAACTCCGTGTTGCTCAGCGACAGCCCCAAAATCTGACAGATCTAGAGGAGATCTGTGCGGAGGAGTGGGCCAAAATCCCTGTTGCAGTGTGTGCAAACCTGGTCAAGGACTACAGGAAACGTTTGACCTCTGTAATTGCAAACAAAGGCTTCTGTACCAAATATTTACACTTTGAAAACTGCAGTTGCACTCTGCAAGTGCAGTTGCTCCAGAGCTTAGTAAATGAGCAGACTTCCATCATCCAATCATGTGCAAAAAAAAATGCTGTTTTTTTATTTTCCTTGTACGTGATTGGGTATTCTTGGCAAAGGGAAGCATTACCTCATTTACTAAGCTCGAGAGCAACTGCACTTGCAGAGTGCAATTGCACTTTGCAAAGTGCGCAATCTAATTTCCTTTAGTAAATCAACCCCATACAGTATACTATAGATGCAGTTACAGACATATAAACACTGCCATCTACTAGTTGAAGAATATATCTCTACTGAATATTGATGTAGTTGTTGCACAAAATACATGAACACTGTATTCCAGCAGGTTCAGATATGCTCTAAGGTGTAAATGAGCCGTAAAATGTCAGATTCTAATGTGTCTATCAGCCATGGTCAGATATAGCTTTAGTAGTTTTATACTCACAGCGTCCAAACCAGCTATGGAGGCATATTTAGTACCATCTGCTTATGGAAGCTATTTCCAATTTTCTTTTCTTTTTGACATTATCTAGATTTGAATGCCATTTTTAGATGACTCATCCCCGCTTCTGAACCCGAACAAGTATTGGCTTTTCCATGAAGCTCAGCTTTCACTCTGAATGGCTTTGTAGCTGAATAAAGGTAACGCTGATCCTGCGGAGTATTTTTAGTCCCTTTAACTTCTCACTCTATAGTCGTATTTATCCCAAGACCTTTCCATCACAGGGAGTGTCAGTACCGCATTTTCTTCCCCTAGTACTCCTATTAGTCACCTATGTATGGTACTTTCATCGCCTCGTCTTTCTGTTCTACACCTATAGTTTTTTTTTTAATGTTTCATTCATGAAGTTGCCATGGTTACATGACCCTGCACTTTACATAGGAAAAAAACAAAGAACTGACCGCCCAGGCACCCAGTATATCAATTAATATTACAGCACATAAACAGCAACACTGTGTACTGCCTAAAGTACAATGAAATTCATTTTTTTTTTAAGAATCTACTTCCTTCAAGGAGTGAGACATTCTGTAGTATGTTATTTTTTTTCCCAACACAAGGATTCATTTATTTTAAAAAAATGTTGGATGGATGGGTAGAGACATTGCCCATTCATGACACATTTTTCTTAAATGGTTATGGTTAGTTCGCTTTTACCAAAAAACTGCCTATGCAGATAAAGGGCATCTGTAGATAAAAACAAACTGTGCAGCTTTGACTAAATTTGGATAGTGAACATGCTATAGGTGTATCCCATTTATATACTTTCAAAAGCCTGGCCGAAAAACTCCCAGATATGGCATCATCCCATGCTGCCTTGTAGCTACCCACATATATTTGAAATACTACAATATATATATATATATATATATATATATATATATATATATATATATATAAAAATCTGAAGAATATATTTAAAAATATTATTTTTAAAAATATATATTTTTTAAATCTATTTTCAGATTTTTTTTACATATAAAAAAGTCATTTTAACATATATTTTTACATATATTTGTAAATGCAGTCCGAAAATGCAGATTTGTATTTTTAAAGACTTACAGTATATTTGAAATGTATTTTTTTAAATATTTTTCATATATTTTGTAAGAAAAATGCATTTCAACATGCAGTATGTGCATATATATTTATTTATTGAAATATATTTTGAAATATATTGAATATAGCCAAAATTGTAGTATTTCAAATATATGACAATATATTTGGGAAGAATGTTTTAAAAATATACTTTAAATATATTTTTCTTCCATATTATTATGATTGTAAGCTCCACGAGCAGGGCCCTCCTATTCCTTCTGTACTGAAATGTATTGTAATTATACTGTCTCCCTTTTATTGTAAAGCGCTGCGCAAACTGTTGGCGCTATATAAATCCTGTATAATAATAATAATAATATATATATATATATATATATATTTTTTTTTTTTTTTATTGAAATATATTTTGAAATATATTGAATATGGCCAAAATTGTAGTATTTCAAATATATGGCAATATATTTGGGAAGAATATTTTAAATATATACTTCAAATATATTTTTCTTCCATATGGGTAGGACATTGCTAAGACACTCCCAGCTGATCCAAACACCCTCACTTACGCTCTATTTCCCCTGTAGCTCTGACTAAAGTTGGATAATGCCCTAGGTATAGGTGTGGGCCATTTACCTCCACTGATGATGTTAGAGCCCACACAGCTAGTCCAATGGCCCAGGGATTTGAAAGTCCCGCTTTTTCCACTTTAAAACATAGAGAGATCTAACAAGGTCTATTTTAAGTGCATTTCAATGTAATATATTGCAGCTTATTAGTCCTTGGATGTGGTGGTTGCATCAGCTTTCTTTTTTTTAGGATTCTTTTTTTTTATTTTTCAATTTTAAAGCCTGCATTGAAAAAACAAAATGACCATAAGGGACAGTACTTAGATAAAACAAGAAGTGTCCCTTGTGCTGGTGCCAGATGTCCTTGTTGAAATCCAAAGTCCTCTGCCCCAACACACACGCACACCTTGGCACGGAGGTAATCTGGTGCTGCAGAGGTTAATACGGCTGCTGGACCTGTCATAGGCATTTATCAAGAATGCTGACTATGCCCACCCTCTCTGCCCCCCTCTGCCATTTATAGAAGCTGTACTATCACTCCCATGAATGAAAAGTGGTCTATGAATGGAGGATGGTTGGAAGAATGAAAGGTTCGCTTCCTACATTCACTTTTTACTGATGGAAGCTATAGTAAAAATTCTGTGACTGGAGGAGGAGGCAGAAAGGATGTGCATAGTTGGCATTCTTGATGAATGTGTGTGGAGGGGTGGACTTCAGAGTTCAGCTAAGACAGTTGGCACCAACACGAGGGACAATTCTCATTAAATATAAGTATAATCTCTTGTGTTGATTTTCTTTCTAATTTTACCTAAACTTAGGCTTTAACAGACCAAGCTGTCCAGCAAAGGTGGCAAACATTTATTATTGGCAAAGGGGCATTACAATTATCAGCTTTTATTCATTTAATAAAAACTTGTATCTCAAAGTTACAAAAAAAGCTGTTGAAAAAGTTTATTAAGTGTATAGCTTTAAAGAGTAACTCCAGTTTCGCTTGAGAAAAAAGCAAATAAAAAAATAATATAGTATATACAATTGCAACACAAGTCATATTGTAATTTAACGTAATTAAAAATGACCTTTCTTTTTCAATCTGCAGCGCTGTCATTTTTTGTAAAATGCAATGCCATATGGCTACCTGAAAGCGTTCTGTACACAGATGGTGTAGAGAACACCCCCTAGAAATTTAATTTCCTGCTTATGTGATTGGCTCACTGATTTTTCCAGAAGTCAGATTTCAGGGATCCCCTGCAACAAAAATGCCATTTTTGGTGAGATATTTCCAAATGGAAATCACGTCTAAAGGGATGCAGACCCTGCAGTTTTCCTCATTAAAGCCCTGCAGGTGCAGCAGCTGATAGATATATATGAAGTCTCCCATACAGATTTAGTCTACACATGGACACAGACAAACAAACAGCTACAGTTGTGCTCAAAAGTTTACATACCCTGGCAGAAATTGTGAAATTTTGGTATATTGATATATGACTGATCATGCCACAAAATGCTCATATGATCATATGAAGCCATTTATTATCAAATAGTTGTTTGGCTCCTTTTTAAATCATAATGATAACATAATCACCCAAATGGTCATGATCAAAAGTTTACATACCCTGGAATGTTTGGTCTTGGTGCAGACACACAAAGTGACACACATGGGTTAAAATGCCAATTAGAGGTTAATGTCCCACATCTGTGGCTTTTTAAATTGCAAATAGTGTCAGTGTATAAATAGTCAATGAGTTTGTTAGCTCTTATCTGGAAGCATTGACTAAGCTAGATACTGAGGATCAGAAAAAAACTGCCAAAAGTCCTACGTAACAAGGTAATGGAGCTTTATAAAGATGGAAAAGGACATAAAAAAAAGTCCAAAGCCTTGACTATGCCAATCAGTACTGTTAAATCACCTATTAAGAAGTGGAAAGTTCAGGGATCATACCAAGCCAAGGTCAG